CTTACCCAACCATTAATTCAAAGCAATTAGAGCTGTCAAATTACTACAATACGTTATAGCTAATTTGAATTTGAAAGGGTTCAGTTTTTTTTATACACTGTACAGTATATGAAATATTTTGGGTTTACATGAGTGCTAATTTAATTTGTAAACAAACAATAACGAGTAGTGTGGACACACGTAAATTCTGCATGCCGGTATTATTTCGCTCCATAATAGTAAGTGTGAATGTAGACTGTAGTCTTAAAAAGTTCGTCAGTTTCGTCAACCTCCTCGTGAAAAGTTGACGATGACATATAGCTTAAGGCAATGTAGTCGTGTGTTTATCCCACCAATGTCTGGCATAAACATGCACCCCACATGGGAATAATATTATGTAAGCGTGTTTACCTTAATTGTATTTGAGTGTGATTGCGCCTCGACTGCAGTTGAATTAGGTTTATCCGGATATATTACCCCTCTTACAAATTAGTTGAATTGCTGTAATAGTAATGTAATTAAGTGTGTGTACCATAATATTTTGAAAACCCCTTCAAGCATTATTCGAATTAGAAGGGATTTGTATGTATGCACATGTGGTTTTGAACCCCCTACACGTTTAGATTAATTTTAATGATGTTGATGCGTGTAATGTTTGTTACCCAAGGACAAGGTGGCCTTGGAAAGGTCGCCTTGTTTATCTTAATATAAATGCCAAAGCCTCCTAATCAGTGCTGTTAAATTAAATTTGCATCATTTTTCGCTGCGACTTCTAGTGCGATTTTCTATTTCTGATGCATGCGAATGAATAGATGAGTTTTTAATGTTCCGAGTATATGTATACCCTCATCTGTGAACATTCATAACTCACTCGTTCACTTCACAAAATTGCAAATTTGCAAGTGTAAACGGTATAGAGCTGTGCGGTTCCAAAAATTTTAACTCGGTTCCGGTTTCGTTTTTTTGGAACAGAAAAACCTCGGTTCGGTTTCGGTTATTTTCAAAAAAGAAGAACAGTATAAATGTATGAACACATTTATGTATGTTTCGAGCATTTTTACTACATAGATGATGAATTTATGCCTTTGTAAGTTTGTATAAATCTCTGAATATTTTAAAACAATTGGAGTTTATTTATGAAGATGAAATATTTCTTTTTTAAAATATTTAAAGTAAGTTCACAGCAATAACTATCACAACTAAAATACCAACTATTTGAGCACTTAGTACAGTGCACAAAGAGCACAATCTTGTTATTTTCCCAACATTTCAATCTGCAATCAGGGGGGCGTTTGGCGGGCGTTAAACGGGAAATTAAAACCGAAACTACCGGTTCTTTAGCGTATAATTTTTCGGTGCTAAAAAAGTACCGGAAGAACCGAATTTTTCGGTTAACCACACAGCTTTAGTAAACGGATCTTTAGACCTTACTGGGAGCAGCTACAAAAAAATGCAACTGTTCACATTTAACGTATTTTCATTTTTTGCTCAAATTTTAGATAAAATCAGTGTTCACAATCGGAGTATTTTCTAACCGTATGTTTCTACTGGCAGTTGGAGGTTCGCTTCTTGGTCAAATGCTGGTAATATATTTTCCACCATTGCAGGCGGTTTTTCAAACTGAGGCACTTTTGCTTTCTGATCTAGCATTGCTGGCTTGCATTGCTTCCACAGTCTTGATATTTGACGAAGTAAGGAAGCATGTAGTCAGACGTTCGTCGAGGAAGAGGATCCCAGACGAAAAACTTTATCCAGTTTAGTTAGGATTTTAAGGTTACAGAACACCTTTGAGTGTTAATTTTGCCTAAAATTTTTTTATTGGTTCCCATGAAAGCATTAGACTAGTTCTACTATCTGACCAAGTTTCAACGAAAAATGTTGAAAACTCGCAGAGTTATTTAATAAAACACATTTCGCTGCAATAAGAAAAACATTGAAAATGTAATATTCAAATTCAATTTTCTCCCGAAGAATTTTACGGTAATTACTGATTTTCAAACGAGTTATGCTCCTGCGGGTTTTAACCAATTTTTCTCAAATTTTCACAGGACATAGCTAAAGACGTCAAAGTTGTGTTCGGCTTTTTTTTAATTTTGGATATTTTAATAATAAAGAGCAATTCACTCAAACAATTCAGAAATATATTGCAGTCGTCAAAGAAATCGCCATATCAGCGGAAAGACGAAATAAACAAAAATTTCCGAACACAATTTTTTAGATCAACTATTTTGCTGTATAAAAATGATATTTTCATAAATATATAACTTAAAACCAGCAGGTGCACAACTCAAAAGCGTAATGGTACCGCGATTTAAGATTTTCCTGAATAATTCTTACATTATTTTATTGTTTGTTAATTTTAAAACTTTACCATATTTTGCATGCACTGGCGAATATTTGGTGAAAATTTGATTAAAATCGGACTGATATTGAGCGCGCAGTAGCGATTTTCCGCAAAACACCAAAAAAGGGTGTCCTGTAACCTTAAATATAGAACAGCACGGTAATGGACCTTTACTGCGCTTGTCGAGGCGATTTATAATTTGATGTTATACATATATAGCACTCCAGACTGTAAAGTTTTGGCTTTCGAAGAAATTAATTTCCTGCGCAAAAATTCTTGCACATTAGGCCACATAAAAAAAATAGTTGGTTAGCGTCCTCGCCCGCCCACAAAAAAGGCCCCGCTCAGGATTTTTTTTATTTTTTATTTTTAAAAAACCCAACTTTTATTGATCAACAGGCTCTAATATATGTAGTATTTCTGTTGACTGTAGTCAAGTGTGTTAATAAATTGCGAAATTGCGTGCGAAAATGACGGTGATGAATCATATTTTGAAATATATAAAAAAATATCTGTACTGCGCAAGAAAATCCAGTTTCGGACCTAAAACAAAGGCGTTAACAATTAGTAAAAATTAAAAAAAAAGCGCCCGCCCGCCCACTTTTTGGCAAAAGCTAAGGACGCTAACCAACTATTTTTTTTATGTGGCCTTATGGAAATCTGCGCAAATTTTTTTTCAAATTGTAAAAAAGACTGTAAATAATTTCTGAAGAATCTGCACAAAATAGGCGCCTTTGCGAACCAAGAAGGAAGCAGATTTCTGATCTTCCTATTTGACAAAAACACTTTCTGACTGCACGATCCCTCTTCCATAAATATTCTTTGAAAATATCTGACATTTCTGCGCAATTTTCCCAAGGAAAAATATTTCCTGCACAAACTAAAACGTTTCAGTCTGGTATAAACTACGAGAAATGAAAAGAGCAGGTCAAGGTTAGGCTTTATTTTGAAAACTGTGCCACTATTTTGAATGAACTTCGAAATTTTATAAAGAAAAAATATGGGGACGTTCTACGCAAACTGATTCCCATACATGTATATTCCCACATTCCCTAATAAACGTTCTGTATTTAGAAACAACGCAAGTGTCACAGTTTTAACGATATATATATAGCCTCCAAATTTCGTGTCCTTACTAATTTATATTTATATATTCAAATTTTACATTACATTCATTCTTAGACTTAGGCAGCGTTTACACTGTACCGTTTTCGTATCGTTCTCGTATTGTTCTTAATCCTCAAGGGAACGCAAGACAATAGTCTAGTTCTCTCGAACAATACGAGAACGCTACGAAAACGGTACAGTGTAAACGCTGCCTAAATGTTGTATGGTTTACACCGCAGGTCTAAACCATGAATGATACATTATTGTCGATTTCAGATTACTTTTCAAAGCGCGGTTCCCAGGTTGGGCGGGAACTTCGCAACGAAGTTCGCAAGTTTATTTCAAAGTTCATTTATAAATTTATTTAAAAAGGCATTTTTTGTCTTGGGAGACCACTGGACCAATATTTTACTGCAGTAATATGTGCATAGGGCCTTATACAGTAATTTCAACTCCAACTATGAACATTTGTTTACAATCAAAGTTCGAACTTTGAAATGAACTTCCGAAGCCCAACTTCCGAGCTTGACAACGTAATTGGCAAGTTCGCAACGAACTTGGGAACAGCGTGTTGAAAAGTTACCTGAAATCGACAATAAATGTGCAAGCATTCTATTAAAAAACACCTTGGTCAATTTCAGAATGCATAACGCCAATGGGTTTATATCCAACCAGGCACCTGATTTTACAGGTGCCTGCAAGAAGCACAATAATGAATAATTATTTAAAGTGCCATTAACCCCAAATATGATTTTTGGCATGTGTAATATTTGGGTCATTCTAATGTGATATATTTTTGTGGTAAAGTCCCATTTTGATGTTGCCAGATAGGATGTCATTCAATGATTTGTAAATTAGTTTTCCTTTGATTTCTGTTGCTAAAATTCATGGTCAGAACGTCATCCAGTCCTAGGACCTGATCAAACTTCATCCAATCCTAGGATTTAATCAAAGTTCATGCAATCGTAGGACTCTTGATCCAATTTCATCCAGTTCTAGGACTGATCGAAACTTCGTCCAGTCCTATGACTTGATCAAAACATCATCCTGTCCTAGGACCTGATCGAAACTTCATCCAGTCATAGGACTTGATCAAACTTTGTCCAATCCTAGGATTTAATCAAACTTCATGCAATCCTAGGACTTGATCCAATTTCATCCAGTTCTAGGACTGATCGAAACTTCATCCAGTTCTAGGACTTGATGAAAACATCATCCAGTCCTAGGACTTGATCAAACTTCATTCAGTCCTAGTACTTGATCGAAACTTATAAAATAACATGTATATAACGCGTGTTCTGATTGGTCGAAACCCGTGTTTGGATCAGGCCATCCAAACACGGAAGACTATCGTGTTGTTGGTATTTTATAAAACAATTACTTTATGGTTTCCGTGTTTGGATGGAATGATCCAAACACTTGGGAATGTTGCTCGAGTTAAGAAAAGCGGGCAAAATCACTCGCCTTCGGCTCGTGATTTCGCTCGCTTTTCTTAACTCTTGCAACATTCCCGCGTGTTTGGATCAGGCCATCCAAACACGGAAACCATAAAGTAATTGTATATTCATCCAGTCCTGGAACTTGATCAAAACTTTATGCAGTCCTAGGATTTGAACGAACTTCTTCCATTCCTAAAACATGATCAATTTTCACCCATTGCATATACAAGCTTTCCATATACATGCATGTTCTAGGTAAGATCAGCTGCGGACCAAAAGCAAAGAAGTTCAAAACACTC